GAATTAATACGTACGTTATTGCTCCGTAGGGTTGGCATCACTTGTTGATAATCAAAAGTGGAAGCACTGATAAGGATTTTGTATTTTCAGCTTCACAAGCACTATAGTCCTCCGTTTGGAGGTAAAATGGAGTCGACCGTGCCATCTCTTGGCCGGTTGCTGCCGTGCAGCCTTGTGGAAATGCGAGCTACTGTTAACTTGCCCATGACTAAGTGTTGACTCTCTTTTAGGCGTATTATACATGTCGGAAGCAAACAATACTTCGTATCATTATCGATCAAAGCTCATTTTACTGGAATTCTTAACAAATGGTACATGACTTTTAGGATGCTCCGTGTGATCGAACAAAGTATAAACCACTGCCATCCGTTCACCTTCCTCAGACGTCATAACCAGGCTGACTCATTCCTAAAGGTTAAGCAAAGGTTACTAGGTTCATCAGGCAAGAAGACTGACTCGTTTTGCGAAATGAGCAATGTAGTACTTCCGTAACTCCCCGCTTCGGTTGCAGAAATATGCCCCACACTTGAATACTTGTAAAACTGGTCAAAACGTTCAAGTTGTTGGTTGTACGCATTGCGTCACTTTAACGCATTGTGGTTTGTTGTTCTTTGGCATCACGTATAACAATCACGCCAACTGCTCATCGCAGTTAGGACATGGGTTGTGGACCAGCACCCTTTAAGATTCAACCGATTACCTGTCGAACAGGCTGTATACATCGTTGCATCATCCAGTCGCAAAATGTGAATGACCTGAGGCCTCCTTCAACCAGAAACTGACAAATTGACTAATGGTATTCGTTAGCTGATTTTGAAGCCAGATTACTACGTGCAGCCGGCACATAAGAACCACAGCGCTGCCTGTGGATTTTATAACCCTCTTCCTGGTTAATCAACTAACATATTGGCTTCTGCCTTTACAGTTTTAACACGTCCATCGTGTTTTGTCTCATTGCAGCGCTTCTAGACTCAATTACCCATGTTATTTGCCTAGAAGGCTTGGGATCTTCGAATTTTGCGGAAAATCTCTACGTCCACCTGTCGCGCTCTCCCAAAGAGGGTTCATTCTCGAATAAATTCATTCAGTACCTCGACGTTGCTTTCAACTTGCACTCAAAAATTCCCGTGAGTTGTTTTCCTGCTTGATATTTCGCCTTGTGTTGTGCCAGTNTGTAACAAGGTTTACACCAGCAATAGTTTGAAAACCGGACGACGTCGTCCTAGTCTTTGAAGTCGAAACATAGGCCCTGTTGAGTAAACTGACCACCATCTTTCAGCATGCGCTTTACACCTACAGAGTGTGAATTCGGTCTCGAGGGCACGCTACACGTTTTCCAAGTTGACTTGCTTTCAACTTAAAAGTGGCATATCTCTGTGTCCCACGAGTTTTTTGTATCGGGCCATAATAAGGTCCCTGTTCGGTGATGTGGGACGTTTGGAACAGTTTTACTCAGGCGTACGACAGCGAGAAGTCAAGTTTGCCGTTTTTTGTCTCGATTCAACCTTGACTGGTACGTGGAAGTTATTCGGATTCTATTAACCAAATGTGTTTCCATAGCGTACTTGAAAAAATTAAATCGTTCAGCTGTAGCATCCATTCGGTGCCTAGCTACCATGCCAACGGAAGGAGGTATAAGGGCTGGGATACTTCCAGTTTGTCTAAGCCTAGACTTAAGCAGTCGAGATGTTGAGTTCGGGTTCTTACCACGATCCTCCCGCTCCGTAAGTCGGCGGCTTAACCACTGAGCTCTCTCGACATAGCCACTGGGCTAGCGTACTGTACACTCTTTTAAAGGGATTTCCCATTTAAACAGTCTGGTAAGGGGCTTCCTGGATATTTCAGATTGCGACCACCTGTGGAATTAATACGTACGTTATTGCTCCGTAGGGTTGGCATCACTTGTTGATAATCAAAAGTGGAAGCACTGATAAGGATTTTGTATTTTCAGCTTCACAAGCACTATAGTCCTCCGTTTGGAGGTAAAATGGAGTCGACCGTGCCATCTCTTGGCCGGTTGCTGCCGTGCAGCCTTGTGGAAATGCGAGCTACTGTTAACTTGCCCATGACTAAGTGTTGACTCTCTTTTAGGCGTATTATACATGTCGGAAGCAAACAATACTTCGTATCATTATCGATCAAAGCTCATTTTACTGGAATTCTTAACAAATGGTACATGACTTTTAGGATGCTCCGTGTGATCGAACAAAGTATAAACCACTGCCATCCGTTCACCTTCCTCAGACGTCATAACCAGGCTGACTCATTCCTAAAGGTTAAGCAAAGGTTACTAGGTTCATCAGGCAAGAAGACTGACTCGTTTTGCGAAATGAGCAATGTAGTACTTCCGTAACTCCCCGCTTCGGTTGCAGAAATATGCCCCACACTTGAATACTTGTAAAACTGGTCAAAACGTTCAAGTTGTTGGTTGTACGCATTGCGTCACTTTAACGCATTGTGGTTTGTTGTTCTTTGGCATCACGTATAACAATCACGCCAACTGCTCATCGCAGTTAGGACATGGGTTGTGGACCAGCACCCTTTAAGATTCAACCGATTACCTGTCGAACAGGCTGTATACATCGTTGCATCATCCAGTCGCAAAATGTGAATGACCTGAGGCCTCCTTCAACCAGAAACTGACAAATTGACTAATGGTATTCGTCAGCTGATTTTGAAGCCAGATTACCACGTGCAGCCGGCACATAAGAACCACAGCGCTGCCTGTGGATTTTATAACCCTCTTCCTGGTTAATCAACTAACATATTGGCTTCTGCCTTTACAGTTTTAACACGTCCATCGTGTTTTGTCTCATTGCAGCGCTTCTAGACTCATTTCCCCATGTTATTTGCCTAGAAGGCTTGGGATCTTCGAATTTTGCGGAAAATCTCTACGTCCACCTGTCGCGCTCTCCCAAAAGGGTTCATTTCAGTTTGCACTAATTTTTCAGGCATTTAGGTAAACAGTCGAACTAGGGTCTTTTAAACGCAAGTCCAGTGATAGCGCTGAGCTATTCCATATGCTAAATGTTGCTTCTCCTTGGCTCAGTTTGCACTAATTTTTCAGGCATTTAGTTAAACAGTCGAACTAAGGTCTTTTAAACGCAAGTCCAGTGTTTGGCGCTGAGCTGTTCCGTACGCTAAATGTTGCTTCTCCTTGGAATATCTGTATTCAAGAGGCTTGGGTTGGAGACAAGACACAACTACCAATCAGTTTTGGAGTGCCTCGGTTGTGAATATCAACGTACATCATGAAAACGTTCCCACTGTATGTCTGTGAAATCGACAAACAACAACTATGGTCATCTCGCGGGGCGTTCCTGTAATAGTCAGAAGATTGGTTAGATATTTCGTGACTCTGAGGCACAGAATACCTTTCTAGGTTGCAATACAGTGGTCTTCGTTTGTTTAAAGCCTCCAAGCAGAAAGTGGTTCTCAGGAGAAAATTATTATGGTGCTTCAAGTGTTTTTTCCACCGTGGGAATCCTGACAATCAGTAACTAAACAAGAAACGTTGGTCTTTCCACACCTACCAGAAAAACGGTCCCGGAAAACCTTAGGTAAGAGTTGTGGTCTTCATAATATAAAGAAACTAATGTAGCGGAAAGCTTGCAAACTGGTTCTATAGTTGGAATGTATAGAGTCGAACAGAGCTGTAGATGTCACAGATAACTGTTGCTGTCATGTGGAATTGTGTCGGTAACTTATCTTTAATCTGCCGTTTGACACACAATTCCCAAAAATACCTACCTTTTCTATTGGTTTTAAACCATTACCTTCCAAGGTGAGAGAGCCTTCAGCTTCATCACCTTTTCGGTCCCTAGCTTCCACGCCATCCGAAGGAGGCACGAGGACTGATGTACTGCCAGGTTGCCCAAGCCTAGACAGAAGCAATCGAGATGTTGAGGTTGGTTTCTTTTCACTGACCTTCCAGTCTATAAGCTGGCACCTTAACCGTAGAGTGGCGATAGACTTACTAATGGTGAGGTGAATACTCATACTTTTGAAAGTTCGATGCATCACCCATAAAACAGCTTAGATTAGCATATGAACGAGATAGTCCTTCTGGGCTAACTGAAATAATGGGCCGCTCCTAGCGAATAATCACAAGAGCTGCCTTTTTGTGGTCGGCTTCGCGCTGTTCTTTTACTAAGGAGATTGGTATAGTCTGTCTAGCACTTGACTCCGCTTGAAAACCGAGGAATGTATTGAGAATTCATGTGTTTCACGCCTGACACCTGAACACAACCACACAGCTGGAGTTCTGTACCCTTTTTTCCCAACGGCCAAGAGAGAACGGGTTGGCAACCTGTAATGCCGTTCGCCTAGAGGTCCACACACCAGCGAAGTCCATCTTCGCACTACTCATGAAGGCAGCCCCAGAAGCCCCCTTTACGTCTACTGTAGTAATCCACTACGAACCTCGTGAGTTATTACGAAATATAGACGCTTAACCAGTCAACAGCACTTGAGAAGTTTATAGAATTGTCTGCCTTCTAGAACTTATGGCTGTTTCTTGATAGGTTTAAACTCCAATATTTGTGGCGAATATGTGTCATCTCTATCTGAAATGGCATTAGTATTTTCGCGTTGTCTTTTTTACTCTTGCCGTTATGATTATTCTGGCTAGTCTCGCGTTTCGCTATTTTCTGCCAACGTTTCCTTTAACAAATCGTCATTTTAGGGCACGTAAGTCGCACTGGCCAAGGCACTCCTCACGCGTCCGGCTAAAAGGAATGGCATGGTGATTATGGATAAAGATCTTGATGGGATGTTTTTAATTCTGAGTGGCCAGACTAAATTCAGAAGAGGTTATCTCGGCAAAGACAAAACCAATCAGTTTAAGGACAAGATATTTAGCATCTTGAAGCGAATGACAAATACCTGCGCCACTGCCCAAACTACCTGCGATAACATCAAACTCCTATGGTCTGTTATTCCGAGACTCAATAGACTGTCTAAAATTCACAGACCATGTCATCTACATTGATCCATTCATGGTAAGCTCATTCCCCCATGTCATGCCACAGCCAAACGGTTAACGGAAATTTTTCAACCGGTTTGTCCTAGGATTTGGATTGGGAGACAAGTTCATATTCTCAGACGTGGTTGAGGAAGGGGATGTGAACAAGGATCACCTAATCTCGTTAGACGCATCTCACCTTTTCACCAAAGCCTCGCCCACTGTTTTTTGTGACTGCATAAAAGGAAACAATATAGACCTGAATTTTCATGTGAGCGATCCGATGTAGTTGGTGTTGTGATGAACATTTGATGTGCAGTTTGATTCCAAAGAAACCCCGTACGAACAAGCTGATGGTGTTTCAGTGGGTTCTTTACAAGGCCCAATCCTTCCCGATTTTTTATGCAACGCCTTGAGAACCATCATCATAGAAGATGCACTGGCATCTACTTCTACGTAGACAGTATGTTCGCGGTCATAGAGAAATCCTCAAAGCTACTAGAGTTTTTTGTGTATTCTAATCAAGCCCACTGGGTCATTCAGTTTACATCCCAAGAGGAAAATAATGGCCCTTCCCAGTTTTTAGACGTAGCAGTTAACATGATCGACTATTGCCTCAATCGAAAGTTAGGTTCACCGGAAATCCACATGGAAGGGACAATACATTAACTTCAGTAGCTTTGTCCCGCTGAAACATGAACGAAATTTAGTTCCGTGCCCTTCTGGAGGAGCTGGAAAAATCTGTTCTGAGTGCAAATATGAAGCCGAATTTGAATCGCTAGCTGGGCTGTTTTGTGGACAGGTTTATCTCAAAACACATGGCCACTGCAACTAGGAAAACCACACTGATCACATCCGAAGCGTAATCCATCTTCGTTAGCCTTCCTTTCAAAGGGGTTCTGGTCCCACTTCTCATAGATAAACTTGAGGCAGTTTTTTGAACAGCGCCCCTCTTTCCAACGTCCCACGTTGGTCGTATTTCTGAAGGCTGCAATTCGACTCTGTAGATCATCAGAAACTTTGTTGTTGTCTGGCGATCAAGTTCCCCCTTCAAATTCATGTCCTTTATGAGAGGACTGTATGTGAACTCCTGTGGACAAGCTCTCGCCCGCGTTCCTGAAGTTCACCAGTTTAAGACAATGCCTCCCTCTCTCTGTGTTAATTCCTCTCTTCACCTTCGTTATTGATGTGCTGCTTCAAGTTTCTCAGCTTGTCTGTAACACAGTGCGGGTCACAATGTTCCCGGGCCTTCCGTTCACAGACATTGAGTGTGCGGACGATATTGCTCTCCTTGGTTCACATCCTTCCAAGATGCAAACATCTTAAATAACCTAACTAACTCTGCCACTTGGTTTGGCGTGCGTTTCACACCTGTGATGTCTGGTCCCAAGTTAGGCAATGGTGGTTCGCTCACCCGATCCGAGACTGTGCACTTGGAAAGTGTTCGTACGCGCATGGAATCTTTCATGGTCTGCTCTCGTGGCCACTTCCGCTGAGGCCCACCAATCGTGACGTTAACGATCCTCATATTTTCACCCGCAGACTCCGCTTTATCCCTGTTTTACTTGTGTGGATCGTTCGCTTTTAGTTTTGTATTCCCTCAATATGTATTGATAAGAGGAAGATTTCACGAAACAAACTAATGTTCGACTACTTGTGTTACCAATTTATGGATCGTGTCGTGGTCGCATATGCAGCGATCGTACCCAGTTCGGTTGGTTGCCTAATGTAGAGCTCACAAGACAGGAAACAAACCCGATTCATTTCCAGTATATGCTGTTATTTTCATGTTATCAACGATACTATATTCTGATGGTCCTGTTGTTACTATTGCTTACTGATTAGATTGAGAATCGCAGGACTTTCTTGCAATCGAGCACGGAGAGTTCTTGTCAACTTAATATTGACCTACTTAGGTCACAGAATAGGTCACCAACCGGATATTTTCCGACGAGCAACCTAACGCTACCCCAAGTACGAAGATTGCTTTCGGAGCAAGCTCGGGAGGACATGAATGGCTCGGATGGCTGTTGGTTTTGCCCCTTCCAGTTTGTATTTAGCCAGTTATTATCCCAATGTCTTTTGGCAACTTGTCAGCGCACTAATTTCGCTGTTACTCTTTTCTGGTTTTCTTCCTCTTAGCGCCACCCAACTGTTTCCAATGTTCACTACGTTCACAAAAAAATCAATTTGAACCAAGGCTCATTGGCTTGGGAACATGAGCGGTTCGCATTACATCGGCTACCCGGATTTACCCTGTCTGCATGGCCTTCAGTCCAAGTGGCCAACCGGTTGCGTCACAGCTCTCTGGACGGCGGACCTTTGTATCATATCGCAGAGCACGGTGAAAAGTACGCAAATCGGTCAACTTTCCGTGGTTCGGTCGATCCTAAGATACTGGCGCGTAATATTCGTGTCATTGCTGAGGCACTTGCTCGCGTCGTTTTCCCCTCGAATCTCAGTTCGGTTTCAACTGATGATACAAGCTTCATCGCATCAAATGTGAGTCTCATAACACTAGAGCTTTATAAAATCAGTTTTCTTGTTCATGAGTGAGTTCATCATTGAGTTTGTACATGATCAATTAAGTTTCAGTTCACTGGACATCTGCACTAGGCGCTTACTTATTCGCGATGGACGCTTCTCATTGAAATTTCTGTGGTAATTTGGACTCGAATAAACCGCTCCTAGTTACGTATCTCCATTTTAAAAGTTTCAATTTCTCAACTTGTTTTCTGATTTCCTCGTTGTGTGGCATTTTTGCCACTTCTCAGTTTCGCGGGTATCGTAGTGAGAGCCATTTGAACGTGCATGCTCTTCAGCGACCCCGTTGATAGCAGTCTGGAATATGAACGATGCTCTCCTATTGGGCACGTTGCTTTTTTGTGGGAGTTTTGTGACGAAGAGTATCCGTCCTTCTGTTATCTCTGAATAACTGATCCTCTTAAGGTTTGCCCTATGTGGGCATTTTCGACTTGAGTGTAGAAGTGTGGATACGCGACATCTGCGATCGAGTGAAGTTTATCATAGTGCGGACAACAAGGAATAAGTTGCCAGTTGAGATATCACAAATCTTTATCACTGATAACTGTAACAGGAAGTTGTCAACATCCACCTTCCTGCCTTTCGAAGCAGAGATTGTCTACCAAAACCTGTTGCTAGGTCGGAAGGTCTATGTCTGAACCGGTGTCCAACCTATCGTTCAGCCGTAACACCCCTCTGGTGCCTAGCTGCCATGCCACCCGAGGGAAGCATTAGGGCTGGGACACTGCCAGGTTGCCCAAGCTTAGACAGCGAAGTCGAGAGGCAGAGGCAGAGGTCGAGTTCGAACCGCGGACCTTGCGGTCAGTGAATTCGTGCTGTAACCACTTGAGCCATCTCGCCCTCCCCTTGCCCAACCTACAAAGAAAAATTGCTCAATTTTGGGACCATTTTGAGCCCATAACCGTTGTTTAACCCGACGAGTCCGAGAGCAAAGCTACCACCACATCCTTCAAACTTAAACAAGCAATATGTGTGCAAATGTAAAGTAGATCCCGGGGTTAGGAGGAGTTTCGTTTCTAGGTTGTCTTTTTCGCCTTTTAAATCTTATGTTCTGTTCCCTTCTTGCCCACTGTTCTCTTCACGTCCAATGTCTGTGGTACATGAAAGTTCAATGAATAACTTCCAGTAGGGTGATATCCCATAGCAAGGTAGAGCTACCAGCTAACTAGTGAATACCTCCCAAATGTGATCATCAATGAGATCTGATTTGAACGTTCACGTCCTGAAACTGTTTGCGTACACGGGTTGTTCTTCAGTACAAGACATGACCGTACCGAATACTGTTTAGCTTCCGGTAGGATTCTTCTTTGGAAGTAGGGCTTTACGTGATGTTTGCGGGTTGATGCCCTTCCACATGTTGGGCTATGCTAACTAACGACGGATAATCATTTGCCAATATATCAATGGATTCATGTTTTCAATCAGTCTGTGAATGATGCACTTCTCGTGAGGAAAAATTCGAAAGGCAATTGAGCAAATAGTCTAAAGGAAGATGACACGAACGATGATGAAGTAGGTTGATATCAAGACTAGGGAAGGGTTTTCGTGGGTATTTTTCTCGATTTAATGGCCTTGAACAATATCCTACGTTTATTGCCCACCTTGACAGCATTCAATTGTAGGCGCGCTTTGCACTGTGCCTGATGTATTTTAGAAAAAAAGACATTTTATTGTTGCATAAAGTTGGCTACCTCCTCCTCAGAAGGGACCAGTGTGACAAGTTCTACGGATGAACCGTTGTGCTTGTAAATCTGTGGTTTGTTTAGGCTATTGTTGATTCATTGTTTGTGGATAATTATAACGGAATTGAGGCAGTTTTTCGAGTTCGAAACTAAATTTAGGTCCCATCGTTTGTGGTTGTGTAGTTGCGATTTCCCTTCCTTCATAATCGATATAGCTGTTTACTTAGGATCATTGTCCCAAAGAATTTACGACAGTTCTGTGTTTTTCGAATCTGCTCCTTCCAAAGCATCCAATAACTCCTTTAGAATCTTCCACCGTACTCTGAAGTCCTAAATATTATTTTTTCACAGTGGGTATCAGAAACAGGCGTGGCTGCTTTACTCGACTTTCTGGTCAGTCGTCCTCGCAGTGTGCAACTTCTAGAACACCAGTTTAAAGCATCCACGAATAGACCACACCTCTTCACCGCGTCAGCGCATGCGAGTGCTGAAAAATGGCCCGGCCTGCTTGGTTCCCTGCAGCATCTTATGTCTAGTCACCTGCAACGTGTTCGGGTCTCGAGCTTTCCATTTTCCAGTGAAACATTGCAAAACAAAGCGAAAACTCAAAAGGATCCAAGATCTGGAAAAGGCAAAGATGAAAGGGATGCTGAATTTACGGAATCTTCCACTGAAGGACAATACATGCGCTCATCTTCTCTCCTAGCCACTGCTGATTTCAATGTCGTTGTGCATTCTGGAATGGAACCTATGACACTAACTATTTACAGGTTAGTGATCGTTGAAATCAATTAGCAACCGGAGATGTGTTGACTTATCTCTTTTGCATCATACGCTTTATTTGCTTGCCGTTTATGCTTGTTTTTGGCTGGTTGTAGGAGTTATTTGCATTTGGTTTCCGCTGTTCTCTGTTCTCTAGCTTGGTTTTTCCGATTATTTTTCACAAAATCCAAATGTGAGACCTTCCCTTAGTCTAGACACCAGTTAGAGTTGTGTTCTTCTGCATTAGAATTAGGCTACTCGACCACTTATATACGCTCCAAAGCAAGTGGCATGTTTGTATGGTGATTTGAATGGATATCGCATCTCTTACTTTACCGAATCTCATCAGTTAGGGCATGCTGGAATGTTGTCACATTAAACAACATATTTTTGAATGACAGCTAAAGAGGTACACCGATGTGGTATTTTAAATGGCTTGATGTATCAGTTCCAATTCAGTTTTCCATTTCTCTTCGTTCCACCTGACTTCTGTTTTCCGCGTAGGGTTATATAAAACATAGTGCCATGCGGAATGCAACCATTGACGCTGTCAAGCGGAAAGCTTTGTTTACTGATCCTCCGAGTTTTGTATCCTGATAATTCGTTTATCTCAAATTCTGTAACCATAGGCTTATATCGCCATCTTTATATTTTCAAACGTTGCATTATTCAATACGGTCGAAATACTTTTAAAACCAAAGAGCCCGGTGCTGCTCAAAAGGCACCTGCTGTGCGCAGCCGCCTTATTCTCTGTGCCATCGGGTTAAGCCAACCTCCTGCAGCCGAGCAGGTTAGACTATTGAGTCAGTGGCTCTAGGCAGGGTCCCCACAGGGAACCTAATGTCCGTTGCTTCGTGGGTCAATTTTTTGAGTCAGAGGTTAGGGTAGGGTCCCCGGACAAAACCCTACGTTCTCCCCCCGCCCCATTGA